CTTTGACTCCTTGAAGAGGAGGAGGATATGTGACTTTTAATTGAAAAGTAAAGTGTAAAACATTTAAACTGAAATACTTCTGTGTTCCCGTCAGCAGGTTATTTGTGTTTCCTGCCTGGAGTTATTTTCTCTGTCCTCTAGCAGCTGAGTGGACTTTATAATTGACCAAAACGTTCCTGAAATGTGGCTGGAAATCCGTTCTCACATCCTGTATTCCTGATACTCTGAACATTCATTATTGAAAAGTGGTTCAAGCTGAAACCAGCGAGCCTCGGCGGAGTTTAACGACTGATTCTCCTGACTGATTCTCCTGACTGAATATTTATGACAAGTAAAATGCAGAGCAGGGATTCAGTGAAGTCTTAACAGCTGCTCCGCTGGATCTGCTCAGTGCTGACCGCTTACAAGCTGTGGTTTTAATGGGAGCCTCCCAGTATGGCGCTGTGGTTATTATGGGATGTTCCCAGTGTGGAGCTGTATGAATGTGCTGTGCTCTCAGGTTAACAAATACTTAAGTGCAGCAGGACAGCTCATCGTGGGTTCGATCTGATGGAGGTAACCGCCTCTCTGTTGACGAGCAGCCGCACATTAACGCCTGATTCACAGGGCCGTTAAACTTTTGATTACATTTCTCATTACACTCATCCTCCATCACCTGAGCCAGAAGTTAAACTACAACATCGAATAAGGAAACAATAATAATAATCTTTTGTAGACCAAATACCAGGAGTGCATATCTGGTCCTCCCTTCTCATCAGAGTCCTTTAAATGTTTGATAGAGCATCCACACGAAAAGCAAAACTGACTGATCCGGCTCAAATGAGTTCCACCAAACGGGTAAAACATCTTTCCGTCAACACAAACAAAGTGACCCCTCACTCAATCACTTCCGGGTCACTTCCAGCATTTGGTACATTCCCTTTCCGTCTAAATTCTGTCGTTTGTAAATTTGTCTCAGTGCTTGTTAAAGTGATTCACACTTTGTAATTTTGTTTTACATTTCCCAGAAACCGTAATACAGAGCCCTGAGAGACCGAGAGAGACCGGCCTGTGGATAGAGTCAGAAATCAGAGAGAGAGGAATGACATGCGGGAAAGGAGCCACAGGTCGAATTCCAACCCAGGCCGTCCGCTTGGAGGACTACAGCCTCGATACATGGGGCACCCGCACCAACCACTACACCAACCCCCTTCTGTAATCTTGTATGAACAAGTTATGATCTTGTGCACACAGAAATATTTGTTGTCCAGACACTCAGATGAATGATCAGCAGTGCACAACATATAACTATCTTTTTTAGACAAGATCATAATGTGGTGTGCACGAGATAATATCAGACTTATGGGGACAATACAGGATGACAACTTCTGCAACAAGATATGTTGATCATGTTGAAAACAAGTCATTATCCTGTGTGCACAATATGGCCATAACTGAAATACAGCAGCTTTCTGTCTGCGATCACTGCTCACTTGGATCTACATCAAACAGAAACTCTGCAGTTTGTGCTCTCTCCCTCAGAGTGAAATGTTTAAAATTCAGAGTATTTAGAAGTTAGTTGAGCACCTGTAGTTTAACTTCAGTTAATTGGAGACTTCAGATAGTCTGAAAGGTCTCACCGCTCTGGACACCATCCTTCAAAAGGAAACACTCCTGAATCGGAGTATGCAGCAGTCCTAAAAAAAATATAAAGAAATAAAGAGACTGAATCCTCCGCAGCTGCAGGGCGTCTCAGTGTGACCTTTGACCTCTGCGTTGAAGCTGTTTAAAAACGGCTGTTTTTCACAGCGATCAATTAAGTGTGTGATTAGTATTCTGCTCAGAGAGTGAGTTGTAGATCTGCAGGGTGTGTGTGTGTCCCTGTATGAACACACACACACCCTCACCGGTTCATGATTCACACGTCTGCGCTCGCTCTGCGCTCGTCTGATTAGTGACGAGCTTTGGTCACAAACAGCTCGTCTTTGATCGTCTTCAGACAACAAACCGAGCTGCCATGTTTCACACGCTGGTTCATGTTCTGCCCTTCAGATGGAGGTTAAAGGTCAGATACAAAGATCCTGTCTCTCTCTCCTCCTTCCTGCAGACTCTTTACATATTTTGTGTTTATTTGCTGTGCAGCAGCAGAGTGATGATGTTACAACTTCTTATTTCACCTGTACCATTTACACAACTTTGTGTTTCCTGTTTGTCAGAGAGAATATTCAAGAAGGTTCAGGATTCAACGTGCAGACGAATCAGAATGATGCACCAAGAAGAGCATTATAAAAAAAACATAATTACACAATGACCAATATCCGGTCACCTCCGGACGCCGTGCAGTGTGCGTGCGTCTGCGTCTGCGTGCAAAGAAAATGGCTGCTGTGTCTCAGCAGCCAATTAAGAGACACGTTATGTAACGGTGTTTACTGGATACAGCAGCATCTGTCTCCCTGCCAGTCACCTTCTGTTCGGTAATATGACCGCCAATGTTTTTCACTTTCTTTTGATTTCAGGTGCAGATGAAGATTTTCAGGAGTCGCTGTCACACAGCTGGATGTGTGTCCAACATTCAGAGCGACAGAGTGGCATGCAGGCGCTCGTTTTGAATCCCTGGAGCGTTCAGGGGAAACCGCTGAGGTGTGCTTTTCTCACGGGACAGAAGATTTTTAGTTTTTTCACTCTTTGGTTTTTATTCATGCCTGGGAGCTTATCTGAACGAGGGTCGTGTATCTTGACAACATCCTGATTCACATTCACACACTTACACTCGTTCACACCCGGGAGCTGCAGAGAACAAACGCAGGCGGCTGCTGGAGGGCCCCAGAGGGGGGAGGGGGCGGGGGAGGGGAGGCTGCGCTCAGTGGGCAAAACTCCCAGGTGGAGTGAGGGGATTTAAACCAGCGGCCCACTGTGTCTGTGGATGCAGGTGTGAAGACACAGCTCCTGGTACAACAACACAGTTTAATGCATGTTAAATATTAAAAAAAACTTAAAATATATCTTTTTTTAGAATCCGACCTGCGGCTCCTTAACTGCACGCCATTTCTGACTCTATTACCTGTCCTGTCGCTGTGACGAAGGCTAAAAAAAAATCATTCAACTTATTCATAACGACATACACTTGGACTTGTTTATACCTTTATTGGAGAGAGAGGACAGTGGATAGAGTCATAAATCAGAGAGAGAGTGGAAAGGCATGCGGAAAGGAGCCGCAAGTCGGATTCGTACCCGGGCTGCCATGGTAATGAAGGCCGCCTGTGGCGTCGCCTCACGACGCCTTTGTCTTGGCCAAAAAGTTGCACTAGAACACACCGCAAAGACTGCAGCCGACGGCCAACCACCACATAGGCCTACGTTCTGCTCATGCGTGAGAGGCAATAACTCTCCATGCCAGCAGGGGGCGGTAGTCTGTAATCGTCATTCCAAAAAGGGGAAACCGGAAGAGGACGAGGAAGAACGCAAATCAATAAACCATTGTTGTGATACGAGGAGACAATTTTCTCACTGCTGTTGCTCAATACTCGTAATATAGGTACTTCTATTGGAGAATAATGTCTGATAAAAAGTTGACTGGCGTCGTCAGCCCTTGGTCTTTTAAGGCCAAAGGCCAACTGGGGCCAACGGGTAGCGACGGAGCCGAACACAGCGCAAAAACTAGGGCGACGGCCGCTCACCGACGTGGTGGCTGGCGGTCTGCTTGGTGTATCAGGGGCGGAGTGTTTAAGGCAGATTGTGAATACGATCAAATCCACACATTGGTGTTTTAATGTTGACTTTGCACAAGTTTGCCTTTCTCAGTTTCCTTTAACAGCACCATGAAAGCACAAGAAAAAAAATGTTGAATTTTAAACGAAAAAAAGGAGAAATCTGCATCCAGATATAAAAAAAAATAAACGCATAATATGACCTTTTTCATCCTGAGCCAATACGAATCGTCTCATCAAGGCTCCATTTTGAAGCAGTGTTCTGGGAAGGTGACAAAAACAGTGTTTCAAGTCGAGAGCTCATATTTACCTGATTTCCCACGGGACTCGAACGCAGCTTCACACAAAGAAAGTGTATCCTGTAGAAATGTTCATCTTCCGCAGGTTGATTTATCTGCCGAGACACGAGCTCAAACCCAGAACGCTCGACGCACAACCTGAATATTTAGACACACACACACACACACATCACAGGAAGTACACACCGACACACAGCAAGCACTCTGACGCTACGACAGCTTTCAATCCGCCGTGTGCTGCTATCAGCCCTGAATGTGATTCCTCACCTTTATTCTCATTCATTTTTAATTTTTTTACAGCCCCCTTCGTTCTCATTGTGATTCCAAAGGCAGAGCTTATCTTAAATTAACACCAGCACCGTGATATCCTCCGAGAATACCGACCTGATATTACAGCGCGCCTCAGAAACGTGGAGAACATCCACAATGAGCCGGATGGAAACGCCTCCATCGTCTTTTCACCGTTCTACCGGGCGCCAAGAGCTTCAAGGCCGCACAAGTTTATTTTCTTACAAACTGTTTCCCGCACCTCTCGTCTCCCCTCTTCTTGTGACTGAAGAGGGTTAAACCGGTGAAATCAGAAGAGGCACATGGCGTTGACCTCACTTCACCGGATCAGTCTGATTCAGTGATGGGTCAGAAATGTTTGGAGTTTCTTATTTCCTAAGAAATGATCGAGCTCTGCATGAAGCCACCCCAACAGATAATAGAACCAGAGATGAATACTCTTTCCTTTTTTGTATTTTTGTCACATTTACGTGATTTTCATGGTCAGGATCTGAAGTCACAGCGAGGCAGAGCAGAGTGACGTGTGCGTCGTTTGCAGAAGATGTCGTTCTGTTGGTTTCAGTCTGGGACCTCACACACGCACGCACGCACAGAGAGAAACGTCACAGGGACGTAAATATGGCTTTATTAAGAAACTGTGATCAGAGGTAACGTTTCATACTCTCAGCACGCACGCAGGCACGCAAACACACATGCACGCACACACAGAAACGACAGACAGTCGGTGTACCCTTTGAAAAAGGCTGTGTTTTATTGAAATACAGCAGACATCAACAGATTGTTTTGCTGACCTGGGCGACAGAAACAGGGCTGTGACACGCTTCAAACCGTAAAAACAAACATCGATGGCTTTTTTATTGTAAAGTTAAAAAGCCACAAAGACGCTCTCAGCCGGGCGTCCAAGCTGAGGTAACGGACTCAATCTGGGCCATGAGCTGATCAAGGGAAGCGTCTTTGTCACTTTGGGAACCGAACTTAAAACGTAGCTTCTGGTTTTGACTTTCAAACCTGCTGGTATAAGAGTTTAAAAACGGAAACGCACCTTTAGGTTTGAAACGGAGCTCAGGCCCGTTTTTGCGCCCAGGGCTGGTTGTTTGATAGTAGCAGTAGTAGAAGAAGCAGAACCTCAGTTATGAAGCAGGGCTGGCCTCAACTCCTCTTTAAAGACACAAAGTGCTCCTGGTTCTCCTAAAAAGTCATCACAAATCGACCTCCTGCTCTGAGAGTCCAGCTCGCTCTCTGTAACAGCTCGGACGGACGCAGCAGGCCGCTAAAAGCTTCAGGATCTCTGAATGGTTAAATTCTCTCCTCCTGAACGATTGTCTCTTTGTTGTGTCTTTATCAGTCGTGGTTTAATCTACTCTCCGCTCTCAAGGGAAACACGTCGGACTTCAGAGAAAGCTGAAAAAAAAAGCCGCTTTTAATCAAAATGCGGCCGAATGAAGGCCTCCTGACTCGTCTGTTTTTATCCTGCTGTTGATGTTTGAAACCTTTTGAAGAGCTTGAAGTGTCTAATCAAACCACAGACACTAAGAAAGATGTCTTTTGGTTCCTTTTTTTTAATTCGGGATGTTTGTTCATGATTGTAATTGTGCAAAAGATTTTACTCACGAGTCGATTTGGAGATGCAGCTGTTGTTCAGCTCGCATGAACCCCGTCTGTACCGACAACACAAGGGTTCTCATTGCTGAAAGTTTGTCTTTGACACTTTTTGGTTATTTTATTTCTTAAGTTAGTAAGTTTGAAGGTGCTGGGTTTAAAAATAAAATCATTGTTCAACTTTTGAGAAACATTCATTCGGTCTCCCATGATAAACCTTCAAATCGAAGTGCCAAAGTGCAATTTAAAAACTGAAGACTTTTAAGAGGACGGATGAAGGCACCAGATTGTCTTCTTAGAGATCAGATCAATAAAATAATTTGAAACCAAATCATTTTCATCACTCAACGCTGCAGGTTTTAGCACAAACGATTGTTTATGAAGTTAAATGTTTTCTGCAGTTTGAGGTTCAATCACAGAGTTCCCTGTTTAAAGCGGTCGCTGCTTAGCTGAGTTCATCTGTCAGATCTCTGAATGAAAATCTGATTGCTGTTAATCTTTTTTAGGAAAACCAGGACACACGCGATAAGATATATTTCATATAGCGAGGAAACAGAGCGACTTTAATAAAAGAAACAGAGGAAGGACTCGTGCACACCAGCCGTTCTGTAAACGACTCCAAACCGGAGCTTGCAGAGTACATCTAAAGACTTCTGATCAGTGACGTGAAGATATCTGAAGGTTTGTATTAAAATGTTTATCCAAGAACTGTAACCGGACATTCAAGGTTTGTCTTGGAAGTGGAAGTGAACAGGCTGCGTTGATGATAAATTATGGCTAACAAGCGAAATATTAACATTCTGGCTCTGATCAGGTGTAACTGCTAGCTTATGAGCAGTTACGAGGTCCTGGACTGGTTAGCTAGGATGCTAACAGGACAGTGGCTAACAATGAAGTAGTTGTACATTTTATTCGAGAAAGGTCAAGTGGATGTACACATGGCCATTGTGACCGCCGAATCTGTGCAAACGAGTCAAAAAGATTCAAATTCACAAAACGCACAGAAAGGGTTAAACGCTCCCCTAACTGCGCTGCAGAGCAAACAGCGTCTCTGTGCATTGGTGCTGTTTCTGAATATTTTAATGAGCCATTTTGCATTACTTTGGGGGGTATAATGGCCCCTTTCCTGTTCATTGAGATTATACAAACGGGGGCGCTAACAGCCACGGGAAGTAAGAGTGAAAAAATAAGGCAGTAACTGCACCGCAGTATTTAAAGAGATGTGATGCTGGCAGAACTGAGCTCCGTCAACGTGAGAGTGCAGCTCTGTTAGCGAGCACCAACGCTATACGAGCGTTTTTGTGGATGCAAATCATCCACAGCCAATACTTAGAGGTTTTACAAATTGAAACTATAAAAACATTTTCAAGACCAGTTCACAGAGAAAGAGCTCAAACTAAAATGGACGTCAAACTCAAAATAGAGATCGCTAATTTGATGCTAGCAGCCGCTTTGTTCGATTGTGAATCTCATTTTTTACATTTTAGAGATTGGAACTTGAAACTTGAGTTAGTTCATCGAATCTCCAACAGGGAGAAGTTTGTTTTCTGCAGCTGTCTGAAAATCAGCTGGACGCTTTTTCGCCACATAACCGTCAAAGTCTTATAAAACATTAAAGACCTCTGACAGATCTTTTTGGTGCGCTCAAGTCCTTCCCCCCGTTCAAACATTCAGACAGTGAACCCACAACATTTCCTGAACTCCTTAAAAAAGCAAATACATTCAATCATTCACCTGTAAAAGATTCACTGAAAACGATACAGATGCAAAAATAAGTCTCTGAAGCTTTCTAAGGCTGTGCGTACAACACGAGCGACGCTGCGTTTCTCTTCCAACGTGCAGCGGGGACTTTTAGCGATGCTGAACGCCACGAGTTTCAACAACATATGCAGACTTTAAGCAATATCGACAGACTCACACCAGCCGTGGACGGAGTTTCAACCCCCCCCTCCCCCCCCATGTTGTTGTTTGTTTGTTGAGGCCAGCCCTGGTATGCATTTGTAAATACAGTATTTCAGATATATGTAGTATTATCTTTAAATCTGACCAGGACACTACGGCGGCAGAAGCAATACATAAAGAAGCTCATATTTGTTTTTACTATTATTCTTTTCTGTCGGAATGGAACTAGTTTCGACTAAGCCTACCAAGCCAACATGTAATTATGTATTGAATAAAAGGCTATTTATCTTTTTTTTTTTTGTAGGTTTTTGTTTTATTACAGGTGTGTATGATGATGTGCAGGAGGACAAAGATAGAGAAAGACAGAAGGAAGTAAAACAGAACAATCAGCGAATGGAGAAAAGAAACAACAGATACGAGAGAGAGGAAGGGAAGAAGAAGAAGGACAAAGTGAGTGAGCGAGGGAGAGATAGAGAGAGAGAGAGGGAGAGAATAGGAAGGACAAAGTGAGCGAGCGAGGGAGAAAGAGAGATGAAAGTACGATTCAGGCAGCATGATTTCTGGATTGTGTTGTTTCTGTCAGAGTGTGTGTTGTGTGTGAGCGTTACCGTTGAATCCTTCTGCGCTTTGCCGCCATGTTAGGCAGTTTTTTTTCAACTGCTTTGTGTTGTTGTTGTTGTTGTTGTTTTTCACATAGTTGTTGTCGTTTGTTCCTTATCGGTTTTGAACAAAAAACAAAAATAATCCACGACAGTCACTTGGTCATACAAGCATGTTCGTCGGAACAAGAAGTGCAGATTGGCTTAAGTTTCTCTTTTTTTTTTTTTTTTCTTTGTTTTCTTCCAAAAAGGGTTCCAGACAGAGTGGCTACAATATTAATAATAATAATAATAATAATAATAATAATAATAACAATATCATAATCGTCAGAATAAGATCATAATAGCACTTGACTTCACTTCAGCACAGTAAAAAAAAGAAGAAAAAAGGTCCAAAGGTGCTTTTTTGAGTTTTGTTTTTTAAAATCTGATTGGATGTGAAGTCCCTCTTCCTCCTCCTCCTCCTCCTCCTCCTCCTCCTCTCAGCGGGGAGGTGGCGGGCGGAAGTCCAGTGCCGGTGAGATGAAGAAGAAGTGACTGAAGTATTGCCAACCGGTCTGTCTTTTTTTTTGTTTGTTCTGTTTTTTGTCGTCGTCGTCGTTCGACTGTTCAGTACAAAAAGAGAGAGAGACGGAGAACGAAACTAAATTAAAAAAACGAATACCGACGCTGGCACCGTTTGTTTTCAAAGTCCATCAACAAAAAACTAAAAATGTAAAAGAGCTGAGAGACAGAGAGAGAGAGAGAGAGAGAGAGAGAGAGAGAGAGAGAGAGAGAGAGTGAGTGACGGGGACCGAGGGAAAGGGGGGGGTTATAAACTTAACGAAAGGAGGGGCTTCGGGTGGACGAGATGCTCCCATTTTACAAAATGTAACAAATTTCTGTTTCCGCAAAATCTTACAAATCTGTAGCAATACAGGAAAAAACAAAACAAACAAACAAACAAACAAACAAATAGATCCTATTTACAAGAAGAAGAAGAACCCTTTTTTTAAAGTGTATTGAGAATGCAGCAGATCCCAGCTTTGGCACTCGGCGATGTTGTTGTTGTTTTTATTTCTTGTTTGTTTGTTTGTTTTAAATCCGTCTGTCTTTCTGTCGGTTTGTTTCTGTGTACAGTCAAGATCGCTGCTGCAGGCACACATTCAGTGCTCCGGTTCACCCCTCCTTCTCTGTCTCCACGGCAACACAGGTCACGCACAGCATCACCTCAGCCGCAAACATCCGACCGTCAGAGTTCACAACCTGCTAATCCCCGTCTCACGAGAGAGAGAGGGAGAGCGCGAGAGAGCGAGAGACTTAAAGGAGAAGTTCAGTTTTCAGGATCTTAAAGTGAAACTTCTTCAAGGGAAAGTTTAACGAAACAAACGTTCGGACAAACACGATCATCAGGAGAAGTTTGATGTTTTAAAAGGGAAGCTTTGAGAATAAATCAAATCTCTTAAAGGGGAAGAACCTCGGCTGCAGCGTGAACTTTCTCCTTTAAAGGGTTTTTAAGTTTTTAAACTCATTTATAGAAAACTGCATTTTCATCCGAGATCACAGGTGGCGCAAACTTTGACTCAGTTTAAAGACCTTTAAAAAAAAAAAAAAAAAGGTTTGTTTCTCCCTGCAACCAACTTTTACATGACAGAGAAGCGTAAAAACTGTGCTGATTTCTGTACGTTTTATTCTGCACCGTTTATAAACAGCATAAGAACAGCTGGACAGAACAAGATTTTTAGGGGCGGTTAAGGCCTCCCTTTGAACAAAAAGGGATCTAATCCAATTGATTGTAAAGAGAAAAGATTTTAAAGAAAGAATGTGCGACTCTTGGATCCAGTAGCGTCTGCTGCGAGTTGGCAGTAACTGCGCCGCAGTTTTTAAGTGTCGCCCTTGAGCACTATCATGAAGCCAAAACAAACTGCTGGTTGGCCACCCCACTCCATACTGAAGCCTCCGCTCTATTCCAACAATACACCTCCAACCCCCCTCCACTTGTTTTTGCACGATGGACTTTAGCAGAAGTAGCGGACAAAATTGTCCTGCAATTACCCGTGTCCTGCATTGTTATGTTAGCATGCTAATGTCAGCGCTCTTTAGTTAGCTCGTAGCTTCACATTGCATGTTTACACAGAATGACCGTGATCTAAAAACTCTTACTAACATCCAAATACTCAGTGAGTATGTTCTTCTTCTTCTCTCTAGTCCTTGACTAAAACAGCTTTTATACACAAGGGGAGGAGCCGGACGTCCATGTAAACACGACTCAGAGACACATTTACACAGGATAGACTGGATTTCTATATTTATGTGTAAAATGTTGTACATTCTTCCTTTAAAGGGTTGATGTATTTTTACTTTTATCGTTTGTGTTTCTACGATGTCTGCAGAGAAAACAGGAAGTAGAAATATTTTAAATATATAATTTTTTGTGACATTGAATGAACACTTTTAGTGTTTGGTTGAGATGCAACTAAACGACCTGTAAAGGAGAGTTTGAGACTTTAAGACCCTCTGATACCCGTCTTTTACATCATTTACAGAAATCTTCAGCTTCCAGCTGCATCTCTGTTTGTGTTCTCGTCTCTCGTCAAACGTCAAACGTGAGGTGAAGATTTCTTCTTCTGTTGCTGAACTGAACCGAGAGGATAAAAAAAGGGGAAATGAGGAGAGGAATTGAAATTATCTTCATGGATCGTGAGCCTGGTCGTCTCCTTTCTCTCTCCTGATTTTAATTTGCGAGCCTCGCTCTCGTTTGAACTCATATTCTCGTGGCGAGCCTCACATCTGTGGACGGGTCGCTTCAGGTCGCGGCGCTGACGAGATTACAGGACGGAGGAGGAGGATGCTGTGCGTGAGGCGGGCTGCGACAATCAAGAGATAAAAATCGGTAAAAAAAAACAAAGAAAAAAAAAAATCTGATTGTTAAAAAAAACTCTTCTTTTCGATTCTCCGTTCTCGTCCACCTCATTTTTTCTCTCCTCCAGCAGCAGGGGCGGCGATGGCGGCACATCCTGTTCGCACCTGAAGTGGACAGAAGACGGAGAGAAGTATTAAAGACGTGTTGAGCACAATAGAAATGTCACTTCCACCAGACCTGAGATCATTCCCACATTAAAACACAGAGAGAAAGAGAGAGAGAGAGAGAGACAGGGATTAAAAAGCAATCATGGTGCCAGGAGCCAGTGCTGCTGGGAAATGGGACACGTTGTGAAATAACGAGGACGACGACAGACCTGACCGGCCGGCGCTCCCTCTCCTAATCCGCGTAAAGAGGGAAAGTGTGTTAAAGTTGTGTTTGTGTGGGAGTGATTAAACGAGGCCGTCGCCGTGATCACACAGAGACAGGACAATGGACGCTAACACACACACAGATGGACTCGCTTTGTTACAAACAAACAAACGACTGTTAATTCTCAAACAGCCTCCTTAAAGGGACCTCAGCTCCAAACACAGGCAGCCCTCGTTATCCTTCTCGCTCCCACGAGCAAACACTAACGGTTTGAATCCTCCTTTTCTTTCTCAGCTGCACCAACATGAAACATCCGACAACACACCTGAGTTAAAACCAACTTCCACCAGATACGCGTGTTACATGTCCGCTCCGCTGCAACTCCAGGCTTTCTCGTCCATCAACATCCACAGACTGCGTTCTCAGAGCCCAGCCTGGAGCAGCACCGAGTCCAGAGACCAAGGAGTTCACGCGGTACTTATAGATTACACACACACAAAAGCGTGAGACGTACAATGTATAAAACCATTTAAGATCCCTATAAACACGTAAACAAAAACATGTCAGGTTGTTGTTCTGAACCGTCATTCTGAGTGTTTTATTCTGAAAATAAACAAGATGTTTTAATGTTGTTCCGATGTCTGACTTCCTGTCCCGCTCGATCTGCTCTGTGCTATCAACTCTGCTAACATGAAGGAGCAGAGACCGAACACGCATCTGGGGGAATTTAGAGATGAGTGGTGTCACCACCACCACGGGCCATCAGGTCAGCTACACACCTTATTGTGAATATCCTTCATCAAATCTAAATGGATGAGTCATCAAAACATTCACTGCCCGTAGAGTGTATGCCGATCGAGATATGAGCTAATCAGACCTATTTGTTTTTTTTAACCAGGCTGTAAACATGTTAATCTCTGCTGTAAAAACAAGATTTTTAGAATGAGTGTGTATGTGACTTCCTGTGCTTCTGCAGCAAGCCTCTAGTGGACACTCGAGGAACTGCGGGAATTTGCACTTCAGCTTCTGGTATACTCGTATGCTTTTGCTGTGCGCGAGTTTGGTTTGGATATGATGAAAGGCCTCGTTGTAGAGTCAGGATGCAGTTTGTGTTTCTGGCTGCAGGTCAAATGATTTTGTTGAGTAAATAATGTTTATTGTGTTCAAACCAAGGAGCTGAAAGAAATAGTTTAGATTTAAATAATTTTACTTGGAGACAAGGAAACACGCAGCTGTGAGTGTTTCACATGATCGTGACGCGAGCAAGCAGCTCGACAGCGGTTTGGTCGTTAAGCTCTCTTCTATAAGCTACGGCGGCTGATAAGTTATTACGAGGCGCTGCGCTGATTAAATGAAGCCTCGAGCTGCTGTGATTAGTGAGACAGGACAATGGATTGTACACACACACACACACACACACACACACACACACACACACACACACACACACACACACACACACACACACACACACACACACACACACACACACACACACACACACACACACACACACACACACACACACACACACACACACACACACACACACACAGTTTGCTCTGCAGGAATTTGTTTTGCTCCATCAATCGTTACAGCCCCTGAAACAATCCGTCTCATGCTATCACTCAGTATCCGTCTGTATCTCGGAGTCTGGCTCCACACAAGACGATTCCCAAATCTAAACTGATTTTAAAAACAAGTGGACGGTTTCATTACAATCCTCTGAACGCACACACTAGACGGCTCAGACCAGGAGTCCACACACCTGCTGATTGTAGCAACGATTCCACAGACACGAGATCTCAGAGAATCTCACGTGATCAAACGTGACTTCAGAAGAAAACAAACATGGAGGACGATGGACGTGGTCAGCTGGCTGTCATGATGTTTGTTCTGTTTTGAAGTGAAAAAAACAAAAAAAAGAGGAAAAGACATCCTGTCTGAGAAGACGTAGAGGCGCTTTAAGTTTGCCGCCATTTTTGTAAAAGTGACATCGGTGATGCTCCCTGTTCTGGTTGCTCTAATTAATAATAATAATAATAATAATAATAATTAATAATGATCTAATAATGGTCTGCCTTCTCACCATAAACAATAAATCGAGAAAGCCTGAGACACCCTAGCCCTTCCAGAGAGGGGGCATGGTCAGACACAGCTCATTTACATTTAAAGGTACAGACACAGAAACAGCCTGTTCTGAGCAGGACTGAAATAGAGGGGTTTATAGGCATGATCAAATACAGGATCAGAGTGGATTTAGAACAAGAAACTTCACAGACAAGTTTTAAGGAGCTCTGAGATAGTGGTGGGCGATAGAAGGATCTAGGATCGTGAAGGATTTCAACGTGCTGACGATCTGCCAAAGCAGGGAGATTGTAGAACTGGGCTAATGTGTTTATTCTATCATGCTGCAGATCATGCTCCGACACAAACGCGTCTCCCTCCCTCCTTTTTTTGCTCTGCAGCGGTGAAAACGAAACTTAAAAGTAAAGTCCGCAAAAACAACTCCATCCCGGTGAGCAACAGTTAACTTATGTGCAGAGTTTACACAGTTAAGTTTATATCTTGGATAGCGACACAAGAAACCGTTTAACGAGCCGGAGAGACGTTAACAGTCTGCTGAGAGTCAGACAGAGCGGAGCTCAGACAGTCAGTGGAGATATAACCCCGGTGTTTAAAATGTTGCTGTCTGTGTTTTCTGCTCTCTCTCAGTTTTTAAAAGTTATCAAACTTCTCCACCCGAAGCTCACCTAATGATAACCAAATTTATAGGAATTACAGTAAACGACGTTACACGTTGTGTGCAGCAGCCAGGTGAGAGTGAGTAACCATGGTGACTGTCTTTCTGTCTGTCTGTCAATCAACGATGTCCCGCCCCCTCTATGAATTAAACTCTTCTGTCAATAAAATTTACTTTGATCATGTGTCACAGAATGAACACATTCTGCATTATGTTTGATTATAACAAAACTAAAGTTAGTCCAATGATGTCATAAAAAAACAAAGCCTATGAACAAAGGCTGCAGAGCAGATATGAAGCTACAGCTGTAGGAATTCTGCAGGGCTAAATAGAACAGAAACACAAGAACTCAAAGTCTACATGTTTTTAAATGAATACATCACTGTGTGAAAATGTTCCTGATGAACATAAAAAGAGGACACATTTCTGAATCATAAATTCAAAGTGGTGAGGAAAACATTCAAATTGTGCATAAATATTGATCAAATTGAGGGAAACACATTTCTGTTGCTAAAAATGTTCAGGGGTGAGACCTCCAGACCGCCTACAAAGACTAAACTTGTCAGCACAGTTTTTGTGCATTTAAAAACATTATACAGGCAAATAAGTTTGGTTGAACTAGTCAGTAACTTACAAATTTGTCTAAAGATCAGTATAAAAAAAATTGTGATAAAATCGTGATCGTGATTTTGCAAAAAAAATAAAAATAGTGATATGATATTTTTCCCATATCCCCTCTACTCTGAGATTTATTTACACTGGTTGAAGAGGAGGAGGATATGTGACCTTTAAACTCTCTCTCAGTCAGGAGCCATGTTGGAAAAGTTCAAACCTGTCCACTTTATGATTTAATTGATTGAATCTTCACCATCACTTTTTACTCGTCTTCATGTTTCTTTGCAGCAGCTGTCTTTGTAATTAATTTCAGCGATGTAATGGTTTAATTCCTCGACACATTCTCCCCGGCTGCCTCCTTTAAAAGCTCAAAGTTGTGATGAGCAGAGAATCCGTCTGGCAGATGTATTTGTCATGTTGATAATGAGATTCTGAAGCGATGAGGAGTTATGAACATTTTAACGTCTTCACTCTAATTACCAGAGCGGAATAAGAAATTATCATTTTTTATTGCACTTTTACTTTCCCTGATTATTTCACTCTGTTCTTCTAAAAACAGTTTGATGAAGCTGCTCCAACCTGTTCATATCAGAACAACAAACCATGCAGGTTTAGCCTCTTTCAGCTTGTTTTGGATTCCTGACTGACCTGACCAACAGGCTGCTGAAGCTGATGGAATATTTACCTGTTCAAGAGACCACCTCTTAGGTTACCACCTCGGTATTTAGTGAAGATGAAAAGAAAAAACGGATGTTAAAGATGAGAGAAAATCAAACATTTATTCATCAGGTGGACACGTTATAGGGGACATATTCTGAAAAATCCACTTCTACAGTGTTTTTGAACATATATTGGGTAACCTGAGTGTCCACTGACCCACAAAATGTGAGTGATGTCTACCGGGAAAATTCAGGGGGGGTCATTCCATTTAAAGAGACACACACACCAAAACGGAGCGTTCTGAGAGAGCTGGTTTATACAGGGTCACAAACTTCTTCTGGTGCTTGATTCATGTTATATTTTGAACAAAGCACAGCACAGATGTTTCATTTAGATCACAGGGGACTGTTTGAAAAGGTAGAAAAGGGGGATAATATGTCCTGTTTAAGGAATCCACTGAGATGAGGAGGGATCAGTTGTCAGATCTTATGAGAGATCATTAAAGAGTTCACCAGATTTTTCATTCGTTATCTTCCGCTTCAACTTCGCTGGCAACTCTTTCCAACAGGATCAAACAAAAACATGTAATCAAGAGAGTCATGGAGTAATACTCAAAGAAAAGTTGAATTTCTTGCTTAAAATTTTAACAGTTTTTGGATGACAAACAGACGGCGCCCGCTGAGGACCTTTAACCGTACGTGTCACTGATGAGTGATTATCTTTCTTCAAAAGAATCTTTGGCCCCTTTTTTAAAAAATCAGGTAAAGAAACAGTCCCGTCCATGTCCTTGTTCATTGGCACTCGGCGGGATGAACCGCGTCTGCCTGGCTCTGGATGAGCTTCAAACAAAAACTACTTGAGCGTTTGGTCCACGAGAGACGATGCCAACAAACAACGACTAAAAACAGAAAGATTAACGACAAGAAGAGCGAACGTGAAACCGTATTCAGCAGGTCCAATGTGGGGAATCAAACTCAAGAACTCAGAGAGATTCATCCTGACTCAGTGACAAAGGTGATCGCTCCACTTTATGGTTATTATTCAGGACCAGTGCTTCAACTGAACGCCACATTCCCCCGTCATTATTTACAGCACACATTGAAAGCTGCAGAGAGTTTGAGTGTGACTCTTAAACTGGAGCAGCTCTTCCATCATCACTGTTTGTTGGATTCCAGCTCCCACCTGCCGCAGCCAGGAATCTGTGAGCCAAGCCGATCGGGGAGAGCAGAACTCAGCCGCCACCGCCGACAAACTGGCACCTGAACTGAGCGTCTGGCTCAGCAGACGAGTGTGTGGCCACAGTCACAAACTGCCAGAGTTTAGATAGCAGCTCCTGCTAATTTATCATCCTGCTCACACAGTGATTCCGACCCACTGAAAACAAGACGCCACGCTCTCCGTCTGTCTGCGCCATCCACTCAAACATTACTTTTTTACCACCCTTATGTACCGCTCCGAACGCCGCCACATCCACCATCTTTATGTTTGACATTAAAAACCACAGAGCCAGTGAGGAACGATAAACGTTCAAACAGGGCGGGAGATTGTGGCCGTGTCCTCAGTTTGATACCGCTGAAAGGTGAGTTGACTTTTTGAGATGAGACCTTCATAAAGTGGCCTCCAGACCGGTCTGAAGACCAAGCCGGATTTCTTGAGCTACAACACCAGTGTTCAGAGAGTCGAGATGATGAACATGAGATCATACATAAACGAGTGAGACAATGTTTTTCTGTTTCACTTCATAGATTGTACGACTCTCATTTTACGGCAAGAATTTAAATATTTTTGGGACGCTGATGGCACATTGGTCAGTGCGCGCGCCCCATGTGAATGGAGGCTGTGGACCTTTTGGCGAGCCGCCCAGGTTCGGATCTGACCTTTGACTCTCTTCCCGCTTGTTGTTACCCACTCTCTCTCTCCCTGGTTTCTGGCTCTGTCCACGCTCCTTTCTCTACAATTAAGGCACAAAACGCCCAAAAATAAATCTTAAAATTAAAAAAATATATATATATATATATTTTGTTTATTGGACCGGCACCAAAACATTTAACTTTGCATTGTTTCTGTGAATAAGTCTGTATGTGGTCAATAAACTCTCACAGTCTTTTTAAGACCTTTAAAGGGGCACTTGTGATGGTTAGTGTGCCCGCCCCATGTACAGAGGCTGTGGTGCTTAAGGGGGCAGTCGGAGTTCAGATCTGACCTGTGGCTCCTTTCACACATGTCATCCTCTCTCTCTCTATCTCTCATTTATCGTTTTAACATATTTATATTTATTTGAGTAAATAAAATGAATTTCCTGCTTAAATCCAGAAGTCAGATTCCAGCAGGAAGAAGCCGCACAGAAACGACAGGACGACTTTGATTCATCCCGTCTTCGTCGTCTTTTTTTTTTTAAACAGCTGCGTATTGATTCCTGATTTCCGCTGTCAGACGTGGCGATGTCAGAAGTTGAATTTGTTTGTGTCGAGGAATTTATTTGAACAGATTCTATTTTTGATGAGCGGCGAGGAAACTTTCAATCTTCTGTCGGTGCGGAGACAGCCGAGGGAAGAAGCAGCAGACTCTGTCGTCACACTCTGCCCCAGGCGGGGGCTTTTATCTATCAAACTTTGGCCCCCTGGGGGGTCTGCTGCTATTTCAGGCCTCCAATAACGGCTCTCTCTCTTTTCCCAAAATTTTCCTGAAGTCCATGTTTGTTGCTGAGCGGTCGCAGCCAAAACTCACACAGCTACACACACAGACGGGGGACTGGCTGGAGCAGGTTTTGTTTGTTGCCTGGGATGGAGGTGTTGGCTTCAACACTGACAGACTGGGGACTGAAGGGGGGTAGGTGGGGGGGGGACCAGCAGGGCCATTCTGAGTTAAATTACTGTTTTTACAAACCTGCAGACACATTCAGTCCGACTGACGAGGAGCAGAAGAAGACTTTATGAGAAATCTACACCAGGACCAGAGCTGGGGTACTAGTACTAGTCCACATGTAGACCCACACAGACCTCAGACCCTCACAGACCCTCACAGACCTCAGACCCACACAGACCCTCACAGACCTCAGATCCACACAGACCCTCACAGACCTCAGATCCCCACAGACCCTCACAGACCTCAGACCCACATAAGACAGGTCCAAACCAAAGACCGCTCTTGTTGTGGCGAGATAAACGGACCGAACACCCCTCACCGTTTATCCAGTCAGCCTCCCAGACGAGTCCTCGGACATCTTCCTCTCCCGGTCCAGGAGCAGCTCCCGTCCTCTCCTCAGGTGTCCGTCCTCCAACCAGCTTCCAAACATGTCCCGCGCTCCTCCCCCTACTCCGCCGTTCTGTCCCCCGTTCTTCAGCTCCGCCGCGGTCTGCTGCCTCAGCCTGCGGAGGTCAGAGGTCAAAAACGGACACAGTCAGAAAAACGAGAAAATGAAAGAAACAGATCTTAGTGAACAAAAGTCAAATAATATACAAAGTTGGTTTTTTTCTATTAAACTTTTCTTTAGAATCATCTGGCCAGTTTTCAAAATGCTGTAAAGATTTTTATACGTCGAGGACGAAGATCATTCTCTAAAGAAAAAGTTTTCATGCTCATCAAATATGTAAATTAAATCTTCTGTCAGTGTGTTCTCGTCCATCACAGACTTCATCTGTTGGGGACACGATCTTTTGAAAGCCCACTTCAAAATGCCGTTTGGTGAAAGTCAGGCACAAGTTGAACGGACATATCGGCAACATATTTGTTAATTTAAGCCGATTTCTCCTCCTCGGTGGTCTGAAGATTAGAGGAGACATAAACGTAACTTTCACATCTTCAAATTGTTTATTGACCTGAGAATTTTAAATAACCACCGCTGCCCCCCAACCTCTCTCTCTCCCTCTGTCTCGCTCGCTGTCTCCCTCTCTCTCTCTCGCCCTCCCTCTCACGCCTGTCGTTGAAACAGACGTTGTTCTTTTCAAGGTTTCGTTCTTCTTGAAGCGATCGATTGTTAAGATAACAGATATTAGTGAAAAAGTTTTAAAATGTTGAAAATGTTTACGACCTCGATCAACACGACAAAAAACCTCTGTCTCGAGGGGCTCCGGTGGCCTAGTGGTTAGTTCGCCGGCCCATTGTACAGAGGCTGTAGACCTCAGAGCTGGCCCAGGTTCAGGTCTGACCTGTGGCTTCTTTCCTGCCCCCCCACCGTCCTGTCTCTAATTATGGAGGCGTAAAAATCAGGTTGTTTCCTGATCGTAGTCTCTTCTGTTTTCTGCCTTTGTTGTGTATTTTCCTGCAGCACGATCAGTTTCTCGCCGACACGTCTGTGGTGACCTGTGCGTCCTTAACCAGTCCCTGCTCTCCCTCGAGGGGCTTCGTGTTGTTGTTGTTGTTGATTTCTAGTTGCCACATTAGCGTCATTTTCAGAACATTAACCTAGAACACTACAGGACTTTTATTTGGTCTACCTTCCCTTCCTGGAGCTTGGGACAACTTTCCCTGAATAACAAAGCCATTAGCTGGGAAACCAATATCTCCAGAATCATTTGGTGCGAGTTTATCCTTCCCAGGAGTGAGCTCCAGGTTTAGGCGCCGTTTTTTTTTTTTGGAAAGCTCCGCAGTAAAAACGCACACCGACATGTTGAAATCCTTCTGGTTCTTTGTTGCTTTGATGAACTCTGAGCACAACAAGCAAAGACGAGTTCAGCTTCTCTGAGAGTTCACAGATCAACTGATCTTCATCTTTTATGAACATCATGATTCTCAGTTTCTCCTCCTCCGTGTCTGACACAGTTTGTCTCCACTTGAGTTCACAGAGAAGTCTGACTTTAATTATTCCACTCGTCTCGTTAATCAAGCCGTCCTACTTCTGACCCCCTCGTGTTACCTCTGATTGAAGTCTTTGACCGACACTTTGGAAACGTTACAATCAGTGGCGTGGGGATTTTCAGTCATGGTCATTTATCCGATATAACGAACAAGAGGACAAGTCAAGATTCAAAGAGATCGATCACACCGGATCGCTTTCTTCAGGAGAGATCAAAAACAAAGAACAGGACGTTCGTACTCGAGTTAAACTTTGACTTAAATGAAAAAAAGCTGAAGATCAATAAAAATGATGAAACTTTAGAAACACGAGCTCTGAGAAGTTTAAAACATAAATGCTGAATCTGAGAAAGAGAAATACTCTGTCAGTGTTTCCAGTCATGTTTTAGATTATTAATTATTTTCATAAACTTTACATCCGGAGAATCTGCACAACCTCAGCTGAAAGGGTTGATGACATCAGAGAGAGAGAGAGAGAGAGAGCGAGGGAGAGAGAGAGAGAGGGAGAGGGAGAGAGAGAGAGAGGGAGAGGGAGGGAGAGAGAGAGAAGAAGAGAGAGGGAGAGAAAGAGGGGAGAGAGAGAGGCAGAGAGAGAAAGAGGAAGAGAAAGAGAGAGGAGAGAGAGAGAGAAAGAGGGAGAGAAAGAGGGAAGAGAGAGAGAGAGAGAAAGAGGAGAGAGAGGGAGATAGGGAGAGGGAGAGGGAGAGAGAGAGAAAGGGGGAGAGAGAGAGAGAGGGAGAGAGAAAGAGAAGAGAGAGAGAGGGAGAGAAAGAGAGAGAGAGAGGGAGAGAGAGAGAAAGAGGCAGAGAGAGAGAGAGAAAGAGGGGAGAGAGAGAGGGATAGAGAGAGAGAGAGGGAAAGAGAGAGAGAGGGAGAGAGAGAGAGAGGGAGAGAGAGAGGGAGAGAGAGAGAAGAGAGAGAGGGAGAGAAAGAGGGGAGAGAGAGAGGGAGAGAGAGAGAGAAAGAGGAAGAGAGAGAGGAGAGAGAAGAGAGAGAGAGAGGGAGAGAGAGAGAGAAAGAGGGAGAGAGAGAGAGAAAGGGGGAGAGAGAGAGGGAGAGAGGGAGAGAGAGGGAGATAGAGGGAGAGAGAGAGAGAGATAGAGAGAGAGGGAGAGAGATAGGGAGCGAGAGAGGGAGAGAGAGAGAGAGATAGAGGGAGAGAGAGAGAGAGAAAAAGGAGAGAGAGAGAGAGAGAGAGAAAAAAGGGAGGGAGAGAGAGAGAGAGAGAGAGAGAGAGAGAGAGAGAGAGAGAGGAAGAGAGGAATCCATCAATTGAAACTGCAGTTCAGACGGCAGGAGCTTGTTAGCAATTTTTGAAAATAGAAAGCAAGAAAAGTCTAAATATCGGGTGTGAAGAACTTCTATTGTTTGTTGCCGTGGAGTCAAAATGGTTTGATTTGCACCAGAATCATATCCAAGTTTAAAATTCTGGTAAAATCACTCAGACGCGGTCAGTCCTTATCTCGTGGTGCAGGTGATGGCGGATATCTTGAGAGTGTTTCGGCCGTGTGGCTTCATTAATGTTAATGTCCTGCTTTTGTGTTTGTTAATTTTTGTTAAATAACTCGTTAATAAATAATAATCGTGTCGGGCCTGTAAGCAGCTACTTTCTGTAAGGTGACTCTTCCATACTTTTTTAAAGATTTATTTTTGGGGCTTTTTGGGCCTTTAATGGAGAGACAGGACAGTGGATAGAGTCAGAAATCAGGGAGAAAGAGAGTGGGAAATGACATGCGAGAAAGGAACCACAGGCTGGATTTAAACCTGGGCCGCCGGCTTGGAAGACTTTAGCCTCCATACGTGGGAGGCGCGCACTAACCACTGCACCACCAGCGCCTCACTCTTCCATACTTAAAAAATAACCTTCAGTAGAGTTTATAAAGTCCTGGAGATACGCGTTGTGGAGTAAATTTAAAAGTAGAACAAAATTGAAATATCCGTGTTTGGGTTCTGAAAGTGGTGCGCCCTCAAAACGTCCCATGGAGGCTCCAAATCAGAACTTTGATCTTTTATGTTGCTTTACTTATTAACTTTTATCACACTAAATAAATAGGTACGTATATATTTACATTTGTATTTGATTCCAAACACTTAAAATCATAAATAATCATCGTGTGAATACGTTACCTGCCAGTAAACCGGTCGTGGAGCTCATTATGTTGTTGACCGCTGAGAGCGCGTTGCTCCATTATCCATCCCAGCTCCACCTCCAACACCTTACTGCTGCTGTTGTTGTTGTTGTTTGTTGGCGCTCCTTCCTGAAAACGCTGGATGATGCTGGGAGGGGCATTTTCAGGTGAGCACACAGGTTGCACCTGTCCTCCATTGACGCCATTGTTGTGAAAAAGTTCTGTCAGCTCCATGTTGCTGTTCTGCAACCGGCTGTCATTGAACCAGCGAGCGAGCTCTGTGCGAGCTGATCCTGTCCGACCCTCCAGCTGGCTGATCTCCTCAGGGGAAGGCCACCGTGTTTGAGCAAAATCGTCCTTGAGGAGTGCCAGAGATCGGCTATCAGGAGGCACTAAGCATGAGTTCTGGTTGGGAATGGAGGGAGCGATGGCGCCGGGAGCAATGATGGGCAGAGAGTGGGAGGTTGGAATCAAGCTCTTAAGATGGCCCACAGCGATGCTTGGTTTATGAACCCCGTTCAGCTGTAGAGTCTGTTGCTGCTGATGAAGTCGTTTCTTAGTTATGGCAGGAATGCCACCGGGGCCCATCCTCTTCGTGCCCATGGAGTTGAGAAGGGCTTGTTCAAGGTTGTCTCGTAGCGCACGGCGCTCCACAAACCAGCTGTCGATTTCCTGGTGGGACAGGAGGGTGGTGGTCGCCAGATTGCCCACATCGCTATGCGTTGGAAAACTGTTCCTCAAAAAGTTCTCCTCCAAGACCTTAAGCTGCTCCGCTGTCTTTCCTTTCATCCTCTCCAGTAAAGGAAATTGGGTCAGAACAGACGACTTTTGATGGAAATCTAGTTTTGACGCTGCTTGCTGGTCTGCGATGTCAAGGTGAATGACCCCATTGTTGGGAGCAGGGGAGATTTGACTGTGGGACCATCTGCCGTCCACACGAGACGTCCCGTTGGCCTCCGCCAGAGGAGTGAGGACCCTGTTTCCTCTGGGGTAGCTGGCTTTCAACTCTACTCCTTGCTGCTCCTTAAGTTTCTTGCTATCCAAATGGAAACCGGGAATCTGTGACGGGGATTTAGCTGGGGCCCGAATGGACTGGATGATGGTGGGCCTCCTTATCTGTGGGGTGTTAAGAGGAGGGGAGTTGGGCAGCTTTGAATCAGCAGCTGGCATAGCATGGGGACTCTGGTGTATTTCTTTGGAGGGGATGGCTGAACTCAAAGGAAGAAGTAACGAGTTTGTAAACCGAGGGGCAAATATAGGTGGGGGAACTAAAGTTGGCCTAGTTAAAGACTCTGGAAATACTAGAGAGGGTATGGACACCAAAGGTTTTGTTTTGGGGATTCCTAACGTAGAGATTGTCTTCCCTTTGGACAAAGAGGATGGTGACGACAATGATGATGGCGGTGGCATTAAAGGCACAGTAGCGGATGGCCTCTTCATCTCTGTGGTGACCAAAGGAACTGCTACAGGTCTCTTCATCTCCATTGGAACAGGAGGTGGAGCCATTGGGAGGCGGTCTTTCTGCGGAGGGGGAGGTGGAGGAGGGGCCATGAGGATCTTGTCGTTAGGGTCACCAGAATGAGGGGCAACAGCCATGATTGGCCTCTTGGACTCAGGGCCATAAACTGTCGTCAGGTGTGTTCGTTTAACTGCGGCGGGAGAGTGTATGGTGGAGTTCACACCAAATCCGTTCATAGAAGTTGTCCGTACGTGACTTAAATGTCCGACTGTAGTGTGGACAACTTGCTGCTTGGAGAATTTGGCAGACCGCTGAGACGTGGGGCTCGTAGGCAGGACGGTGAATGTGTGATGCGCAGGAGGGATGGAGCCGTTGAACATCTTCTTTCTGGCTTCTTCCACCTCCTCCGGGGACCAGGTGATTCCTTGCTTCAGCCGCTGGGTGGTGAACCAGACTTTGATCTGTTCCTCCGGGTGTTTGGAGGCAGCTGTCAGCCAGGACAGCTCTGCATGTGTCGGGTAAGGAAACTTGTTGAAGGATGTGATCAACGTCAAGTTGTCGTCTAAAGAAGGGTTATATTTGGTGGTGTTCAAGGGAACAGCTATTTTTGGTACAGAGTTAAAGTTGGGCGGACGCTGGAGCATGGGGGTGACATGGGAGAGCCCTTGCAGGATGGTGGGTTCAGGGATGATGACTGTTCCGTTGATGTTAACGGCGGTGATTTGATCCTTCTGGATCAGGCCGTCCAGCTGGGTTTTCAGTTCGCTCCCTTGATAGAATGACTGGATATTGTCTGGGCTTTTCACTGTGGTAGATATGCAGGGTGGAACCACAGAACTGCTCTGACCCTGCTCTTCTGTCTCCTCACATTCAGCTGAATTGTCCTTGCCTTCGATTGTCTGCTCTAAGATCGTCTGATTGTTGTTTTTTATCCTCTTGAACTTGAAGTTAGTCTCCCCTGGGTGCTGACTCTCATTGTGCTCTGTGAGTGAGTCAAACTTCTTGGTGTTGAAGTTACAGACGGCACAGAGGTACAACGGATTCAGAATGACGTTGGGGTGGCTTGAGTCCACATGCTCTTTAAAGTCATTCAGGTTCTGCGTTGAAAACGGGCAGTATTTGCACTCATACCCTCTGGGATGCTTCTGCTGGGACGCGGGGTCAGATTCCATTTCCTCCCTGTCCTTGTCCTCTCTGGGTTCCACATCTTCGATGACAGGGAGTTGGTTTTCTTTACCCAACTGCTCCTCTTGTTCTGGCGGCTCAGAATTCTGGTTTTCCAGTGGTTTTGGAAGTGTCTGCTGGTCTGGATTCTCCTGCTGAAGAGCTGGACTCTTCTCTGCAGATTCAGGTGATTTTATCCTGTCTTGTTCTGTCTCATTGGTGTCTGTCAATATGTCCATGTCCATCACCTCCTCAGGGTCTTCTTTCTGTTCTGGCAGGTTGCTGATGACCCGGACCATGCAGGGGGTGGACGACTTTCTACGACTGGACATGATGGCTGCTGCTGCTGCTGCTGCTGGTGGTTATGGTGGTGCTGGTGTTGCTGATTGCGTTGGAGATACTGTTGTTTTTGGCTGTTGCTGCTGCTGCTGGTGCTGGCCGAAGACGTCAGCGCGTCTGGTTTTGAGCGGACCTTATTGTAGTGGGTCAGAGCTGATGGTTGTGGATACTGGTAGGCGGGGGGAGCTTGAGTCTCCAGTGTGCAAGATGGAGGGCGAGAACCGGCTGACGGTGCCGGCCCAGGACCGGGTGTGCAGTAGCGTCTCCCGCTCACTGGCAGTGTCAGCTACCGACCTGGGCGTCATGGGAGGGCATCACAGACAGCAGCGGCACTCAAGCTGCGAGGAGACAAACAGAGAGAGAGAGAAAATGACATGTTAATATTGTTTGTGTTCAGCGAGCTGCGCTGCAGTCACTGGGGTAAAGACAAAAAGCAGAGAAAAATACATGTTAGAAAAACAAAGAGAGAAGTCATGTTGATATTGCCTGTGTGATGTGATGTGCTACATTTACCCAGAATAAGACAAAGAATAGTAAAAATGCATGATGGGCGATGACAGGAGGGCAAAACAGATAAAATGCTCTTTTAGAAACTGGCGAACAACACTTTTGGTTGAAAAAAGTCTGTTTTTTATTTTTAAAGAAGTGAGATTAACATATTACCGAGGATGAAACAGAAACATCAACAGAGATATTGACTCTCGCTAAGGTCAGTTTTACATGAAATATATGCAGCATGCTGTTTTCTCCGGAGCTGTGCATCAGATGTTTTTTTTTTTTTTTACAAAGACACGAAGTTGGATAAGAAATACATCCATAAAAACCTAAATATTATTCTAAATAGTAAATATTTATGACTAAATAAGAAACAAAGCCTCGAACATTTTGCGAAAAACATCTTTAGAGTTAAAAAGGTAGAAAGCTGGGGTGCCGTTTGATCAGATACAGCTGACAGCGGCCCGGCAATGAAAGAACTAACTAACGTCATGTTGTGATTCAAGTATTTTATATCCTGGTTGGTAGTGTTGTAGTCAAGACCACACTAACCGAGACCAAGACATACCCGAGACCAGAGTGCTCCGAGACAAGACCATGACCAAGACCATTACACGGGGAAGGTTACAGTCGTAAACTACAAATAAATTGTATTTATAAAGTTATTTGTTATTTTAGAAAGAGGCGTTTTCCTTCTGATCTCAGTGATGACTTGGAGAAACAGTGGTGGTCCAAGTCAAAAAATTTCAGATTCCAAGATGAGATGGAGACCTTCAAAAAGTGGTCTTGAGTCCAATTTACAGTACGACAACACTACCGGTTGGTTAACACAAATATGGGGCGTCAATACTTTCTGTCCACTCTGGGTGTTGAAAAGATGCTGAAGTCGTCTTGTCACTAAAATTGATTTATTCAGAAAATAAACAAAGATCCGTCTCATATCAGGGTTTGATGAATGGACAACAGAAAGGACGAGGAGTATTTTTGGAAACAAATATTAAGACGAGTGGATTTTAGAGGCTGGTACAGGTATCAGTGTTTCATAATGAAAAGATGATGTTTCTGACAACAAGCCCACTGGTTTTGATTTCTGAAGAGCTGTCAGGATGATGTTTTGCGGATTAATTTTATATCTCCGAGCTGAAACAATTAGTTGATTGATCAGTCATTCAACAGAAAGTTCATAAGCAGCAGTTTGATGAATCAACTTAAAGTTTTCATTTCAAGACCAAATTCTGAACACCAATTTATTCTGTCTTGCCAAACTTTGCTGCTAAAAATGTTGTTAAAGGTCCAATCAGTGAGATGTGTAGTGAGTGAAATGATAGTGACCTTACTATATGATCAGACATTAAGGAAACTAAAGGCCACACAAAAGTTACTTAGAGTCCTCCAAACCGAAACGTAAGGAAACCTTCAAACAGACCCTGAACAGTACTTTTAACGGAGTACAGTGGTAGACTACAAACGATGATCGGGTACCTAGAAATGATGTTGCGTTGGTCGGGGAGTTTTTGGGAACGTAGTGCTGCATCAAAGATCTGTATCGCCGTCTTGAGACACTAAGGGGTCATAAAAGACGATATCGTTGTTTGTTCTGCAACAGCAAATCAAAGTCCTGATAAACCAGACGATATTGTCCTGCAAGGTCGTCCTCTCCGCTGTTGTCCAATCCTGGTTTGAGTTTGATCACTGGTCCTAAACACAGGAGCGTTATTGGTCCGGCTAAATCAGAAGATCACAGACGACAGCGTTTGCTGACAAAGCCGAGACCAGAAGTTTAAAAAAAAAGGGGAGTGTGAGTGACAACTTGAAGCGCCTGAAAATTACAACGAATCCGAGTGCCACTTAATCAGGGCACGCTGTTCCAGGCCAATCACATGTAAATGCAATAAATTGAAGCGTCCACGGCAACTACAAAAGCAGGAAAAAAAAAGTCTCCAAACTCCAAAAGCCATTAAAAAGACATTAAGCGTCTTTCATAGACTCGGGCAAAGACAACTTCACAGGATAATTACCCTGTAATCATGTAATAAGAGAGACTCAGTGATGAGATCTCCTGACAGCTATCATCCACACAATGGAAGAGAGAGAGAGCGAGAGAGAGAGAGGGATGGAGAGAGGACGAGGAGGAGAGGGAAGGACAGGTAGACGGAGACAGACAGGAAGAGAGGGAGAGGAGAGGGTGGAAACAAAAGGACAAAGGGAGAATGCAGGTAGAAGGGAGGGAGGACGAGTGATATCACCAGAGAGATATTTGTGAGATAAAGGAAAAGAGAAAGAAAAGTTTCACGCTGATGAAAGAGAATAGACACAAAGCAGAAGATGTTTAAAGTAGGCCATGGCCTGGCAGACAGACAGAGAGAGGATACGAGGAGGAAGACGAGGAGGACGAGGAAGATGAAGAGAGAGGAGACAACTAGGAGGAGGACGAGGAGGGAGGAAAGAGGAGGGAGGAGGGAGGAAAGAGGAAGAGAGCAGAGACAGTGAAAGAAAGAAAGAAAGAAAGAAAGAAAGAAAGAAAGAAAGAAAGAAAGAATGCAACAAGGATGAGGAGGGAGGAAAGAGGAAGAGAGAGGAGACAGTGAAAGAAAGAAAGAAAGAAAGAAATAAGATGAGGAGGGAGGAAAGATGAACATAAAGAGAGAGGAGGAGAAAAGTCAGAGAAGAAATAAAAGAGGACGAGCCGCAGATGAAAAGGATGATGGAGAGAAAGAAAAGGTTCCTCCAGGAAGTTGAAGTATTGCAGAGAACTTTAGTAAAATCAGGTTTTTGGTGCGTTTTCTGTCAGCAGAGTGGAAGCTTTGAAAAGGTGTTTCAGTCATTTTAAAGAGAAACACTTTGCCAAAAAAAGACGGAGAGTATTTCAGCACTTAATTAGTGTTGGGCAAGCTGTTATTAGTCCCCAGTGTCACGTCATGTTGGACATACTTCACGCTCGTGCTGCCTTGATCCGCTCAGCGTGCACAGGAGACATATTTTATAGTTTTCTGAGTATCCAGAGTCCTCTTTGAATCGTTGTGTTGTGGAATGAGACCGAAATAATCGGATGATTTATGAAACTCATGCATTTACATCGCCGTTTACTGAATACTCCAACTAATGAGAGCTGAAAATCAAACATTCTCCGACAGGAAATTATAATATTAGGTCAATTTATTTTCACTGTACTTCAAAAAACCCTTTGGTCTCTTTTCAAACATTCAAACCCCACCAAAACCTGGTCCAGGAGGGACCTGAAGACTCCGTTACAAACTTTTAGGATTTGGCAAAAACACGATCGCCGTCAGCATCACGATCCTCCGCTGATTAAAAACTACTAGGAAAACTTTCAGAAGAGTTCACACTCTTCTTCTTCTCTGTCTCCAAAAACACCTGCAGCATCTCAACCCGACCCCTCGTGACCCGGTTAAACTGGATGTAATTTTGGACTTGGCCCAGCTCAGGTCCTGGGTCAGGTCATTGCTGGGGAAGGAGAGAGAGCCAAGGATGAGCACGGAGCATCTGAAGCTTCAAAGAAGTAGAGCTGGCTCGGAGACTTCCTGATCTGAAGCTGCAAACTTTTCTGACTTTCTAACTTTTCACTCATGAAGCTGAAGGTGCATGTTTTCTCCGCTGTTACTCGCAGTTCTCGTACAGAATGATGGTGTGTCTGTGACCTGATGACCTCTAATCATTTATACTAATAGCAGAAGACGTTTGTGTTTTTAATCCTGTTTAAATCGAACATGTTGGTAATTATGTTTGTACAGCTGCTCATGGCTGCACTCACGTTCCAATAACAGATCCAGTGCTGCAGGACGCGCGCCATCCGACATAGCCAAACTGTTACGCTGACTGACCGTGGCTCGCACAGTGTATGCTGGGATTGGGGGTCCTGGGTACCAAAATACAGTTAAAGGAAGAATATGCGGTATTTCACACTTAAATGTAATAGAAATCAAATATATCCTCTTAACTGAATGTCACGCAAGTGTTTCTAGATCACGGTCATTTCTGGTAAATTTAGATAGCTAGCATTAGCATGCTAACACAACAATGCAGCGCAAGTTGTTTTGGTTTCATGCTGGCGCTCAGGGCGACATCTACTGGATCAAAAAATTGCGTATTCTGCCTTTAAGAGTAATAAAGAGGAGGATTCCTCCCAACAGGACGGTACAGACCTTTAAAGTATCCCCGCTCCATCACAGTGATCCAGTGGAAGTGTGTGTTGGTGTTTGTATCTGCCCAGACGCTGGCCATTTAACACGGTTACACGGAGTTAACTAAGTCGATGCTTTCTGTTGTTTTTAAAGATCTGGGAAACTGCCAAATCAAACCTCTCTCTGGATTCATACATAGTAATAATAATCACTGCTCGCTGTCTTAAACTGAAATATTTCCATTCATACTTTCTTCTTCTGTACATGTTTCTCTGATGATGAATCTGCTGCCAGCTGCTTCAAGGGTCGAAAAGAGAAGCGAGTTTCCAGAAGAGGAGAAAACAAAGCGTGTGGGAGGAGTTGAAGAGAAGAGAGCAGAGAGCACATGTATAGGAAAAGGTGGAGGCAGACGAGAAAAAAAGAATCAACACAAAACACAAAAACAGGCCGAAGGAAACGGACGAGAGAGTGTAGGAGGAGAGACAGAAATGAGACATTCAGAGAGAGCGGGAAAAAAGAGGAAACAAGAACACAGAGAGGACTGAAAGATGTAGAAAACAGAGAGACTGGATTATAGAGAGAATAAGAGCTGTAGAGGCAGACAGAGCTGCAGGCCAGAGCTGCAGCGGCGGCGGTGGCGGGGCGGTCTGGCTTCATGTGGATGAGGAGCGGCGCTGCCTCTGCCAGCTCCAGAGAGAAAA